ATCAAAACAAATTATTTCTAATAAAAAAATAAATTATAGAAAAAAAAATTTTTTTTTATTTATCGGCATAAATCACACACGTATTCTTCTTTCTCTGATCTTGCACACTCAATGTGAGTCCAAAAATCCAAAAACTACATTGGATTCATAGACATTGATCCAGCATCTTGGGAATCCATAGTACAAACATTGCCATCTTGAAAAACAATAGCAGTTACAGCAAAACAAAAAGAACTAAATATTCTTAAACACGGAAATGTTAGTGTTAGAGATAACATCATATACTGTATAAGTGTCTGGCTATAAACGTTAGCCGTTAATCACGAACAGTTACAAATAAATAAAGTTCTATCTACCTTTTAAACGTTCAGAAATCGACAAAAGAAAAATATGTTTCTTACTTTATTTGTTATTCCCATCTAGTGAATCTGGCGCTCTTACGGCCCAAAGGGTAACCTAATAAACAAGTTCTAGCTGTCACCTATAAAATGCAGCTCAAAGTTTTTAAGATATTGAGAGGTTCCATATTATCACCTTCTCCTCTACTATATTTTATATTCTTTAATATTTTAATAAATTTTTAAATGTATACTTACTTATGACCTTTCATGTGATTAGCAATACCGCCCAAAGATATACCTCTGTTACAAATGGTGCATATCCCATTCCTTTCGCCCTTTTTGAAGTAATCCCAATACCAACTTATTTTTGTTTCATTCTTATTTATTACCGTTAATTTGTCTTCATGTTTACACAATAAGTGTTTATGTAAAAAATTATAATTCTTGTTTTTGAAACTAATTAGTCCAAAGCAATAATTGCAACTTGCTAAATCTCCTTTTAATTTTAAATAACGCTTTCGTATGAAGCGACGTATTGGAAGCTTCTCTTTTAAATTATATTCTATATTAGGTACGGAATCTTGTTTTATATTATGTTCTTCGAATAAATGCTCTCTTAACTTTGTTAATGTTTCTTTAAACGATGAAGAATTAGCTTTATCATTCAAGAAATGATCGTGACATTCTTGACACATTAATGTGGGAATATAATATTGCAACATCCACTTATCTTCTGCTTCCTGCTCTGCCATTATATCTGTTCTTGATCGCAGAGAATTTGTGTCTTCTTGATGCTTCATGCCTGTATTGCCGTCCGTATCATCTGTATCACTGTACGAACGTGGATCAGTTTTCCTAAATTTATATTTAGAGTGATTAAAGAAGTAAGAAATGCAACGATATTAGTTCTAATTTTGCACGCTATTCCATTGCAGGCTAAGGCTACGTTTTAGGAATTTTATTATTCGGATATTTTGAAGCGATTAAATATCGACTCAAATGTTTTTTATAGATCTGATAATTTTTATCCGACTATTCAAATATAATAGTTTCATTAATGACTAATTATTTGAATGTGGAACACGGTAAATTTGTTTCTCTCGACGCGTATATATATTTACCACATAACATGATCTTATAAGAATTGTATCACGCAAATGTTAAATATCTGATTCAAGTGCTTGTAATATGTACGTTAAGCAGACTGTAAGAAGAATTAGAAATATTAAGAATTGCATAAAATTTAAATAAAAACTTCTTTATAAGTAATGCCACAATGTAAACCTTTCTTTGGTTTTTTAACGGTTAGCTTTCAGAAAATATATGATAAAGTTCATGATTTTTTAATGTTCTACAGAGTAGAAGTTATCTACAATTATTATAATATGATTGAATTTTCATTAAATATTTCATTAAATACGGAATAATACGTATTGTACGTTATAACTAGGGGAGACCGGGGCTAAAACGTCTACGGGGTAAAACCGTCAAATTAAATATCTCGGAACCTGTATATTGTGCGAACTCGCTATTAACATTGTAAACGCTGCTTATGGTACCCATGTGACCAATGGAGTTTCGGCAGGTTACCTGCCATGTTATGATTTTTACGAGGGCAAACGTGTTTTCGGAAGGTGCATGAAAGTGAAATTTTCTGCGCGTGGAAATTTTGTAATATCTGCTATAATATTTGCTCTCCAAATCTCGAGGTACGTGATTATAAAGAGTAATGCATGCTGAACACAAATCCAGTGTAGTTTTTTCATTATCGTTGATGTCTAATATTTCGTGGGCGATCAAACCTGAAACTTGTGTTTGGGGCTATCCGTCACTAAGCACCCGGGGTAAGTCCGGCGTCTCGTCATTGTGGCGCGCCGGGCGCACGACTTCAGCTCACGGCGATTTCAGGTTAGATTTCCCTCGAGCGTGATTCTGTCTTCCTTTGCACGTGCGTCAGTTTGTATAGGAGGGAAATGGTACGCACGTATCGTCGCAAAACGACTCCCGTCGACAAGGAGCAACTCAAGAAACAATTATTAAAATGTATCCTATCATTTTTCAGGATTAGATGTACGTATATGTATTGAAAATGCAGTGTGACGGATTTGCCCCGGGAGGTGACGGTTATACCCCGGCATTTTTGAGATTTCAATTTTTCCACCGTTGTCGTTTTTGCTCGATCTATACCGGTTAAACAAAGCGACGTAGACAAAAATTTCCTATATAAATTTTGTAGCTAATAAGGTTCACTGTTTACAATGGTATACCACATTTAACTAAAATTATTTATTTTGTTGTTAAAAATCGACACCGAAAAAAAAACTTACGGTTTAGCCCTGGTCTCCCCTATGTGTATTTTTGTGTCATATTTGCTGAAGCGCGTAAAGAATTGATTTTGTACATATTTCGATAAGATTTATAATATCCCGGCCAAAAGTAGGCGAAATTGCGACTAAAATCACAATTTCGATTATAATACAAATAATTATTATACAAGCCTTAATGAACACGTACTTGTATGCGCTACATTTTCTTTAGCTATTGAATATTTCACATTACTATCAGTTTTATATTCTCTTCAGTATTTTAGTCATTTTTAAAATGTATACTTACTTATGTACGCTTATGTGATGAAGTAAATTTTTAAGTGAATTTATTTTGTATGCTGCATTACAATAGTTGCATATCGCAAGCATTTCGTCCTTTATTGTCACGTAATCCCAGTACCAAAGCACTCTCTCTTCATTCCTCTCTCTTTCCGTTAATTTTTCTTCATGTTTATATTTCAAGTGTTTATGTAAAACACTATGTAGTACTGTATAATTAATTACTCTAAAGCAATGATTGCATTTTGCCGCATATCCATTTAATTTTGAATAATGTTTTCGTATAAAGCTACGTACTGGAATCATGTCTTTAATTACATCATGTTCTATATTATGTACGGAATCATGGTCTATCTTGTGTTCATGAATTAAATGTTCTTTTAACTTTGTTAATGTTTCTTTATACGATGAAGAACTAGCTTTATTATTCAAGATAAGTTCGTGACATTCTTGACACATTAATGTCGGAATATAATATTGTAAAATCCACTCATCTTCTGAGGGACAACCCGCCTCTGCCATTATATCCATTCTATGTCGCGGAGAATCCGTGTCATCTAGTTGTTTCGCTCCTTTTGTAGGCGTACCCATGTCTATATTGTTGTCCGTATCACTGATTGAATTTGGAACGGTTTTCCTACATTTATATTTAGAGTGATTAAAGAAATAAGAAATGCTACAATATTAGTTTTAATTTTAGCACGCTACTCTGTTGGGAGTCAAGGCTACCGTTTTAGGAATCTAATTATTCGTGGGGGTTATAGTAGATTTGATAATTTTTTTTCGACTATACAAATATAATAACATAGATTTCCATGCTATGTAACGTAAATACTTATAGGAATATGCAAGTGTTAACTATCTGATTCAAATTTTTGTAATATGTAAAGGAAATAAGAATTAGAAATACTATAAGAATTGCATAAGATTTAAATATAAGCTTTTTTATAAATAATGTAAAAAGTTGGGGTAATTTGAAACACGTAGGCAACGAGATGATATCAAAATTATTAAGTGTTACAAGCGGACAGCAATGGAATTACAATTACTAGCTGCTGGTCCCCTAATCTAACGTACAAAGCGGTAGCGTGGCACAACGTAAATGTTAAAAAATTAAAACTGAGAATTTGGTGTGTATCGCTTACAGCGTAAGGTTTATTATATAAACCTTTATTTTGCAGTCAATCTACTTCACAGCTTCTCAGTTTTTTGTTGCATGTAAAATTATAAAACTACGATAGTACTTTAGTGTAGTCTATTTAGCACGTGTCATATGGTGTACATTTCTATTCTGTACGATAAAAAGGTGAAAATTGCGATATCGGATAATTTTGAGATAGTTTGTATAATGCTTTCTATAAGTAAGTAATTTTATTTCTATTGTTTCTTTCTTTCAGGAGTAATATATTATGATGAGTATACGTTATAAGTATATATTACTGTGAGTAAAAGTTTTAAACATAGGTATATATATTTGTATGACATTGTTACGAGGAGCACAAGAATTAGAGTTTTAAATAAATTGGAATATAATAAATATGTAATATAATAATTATTACAGACTATTTTAATAATTAATATGCCTTAAAATAGAATAAAAATAATTTTTTTGCAAAATTAATAAAGTGTTTTACCTTGCCCAACATGATTCAAATTATCCTACAAAAATCTACCTTCGAAAAATTTGTTATAACATTAAACTCACTATAAATATACGAAATTTGTTAGAAACACGTTGTAACAAACATTTGGCATTACAACTCAGCAAAAACAAAGTTCAGTTATCTTTAATAATTTTCAAGTTTTTTTGAAAAAGGCTTGGGGTGGTTTAAATTACACCAACTTCCTCTATTATATGTGTATTGTAAGAATTGAAATAAAATGTTTTTTTTTTTTAATTAAAGTCAAGTCAAACTAGTAAAAGAAAATTATATATTTATATTTAATTCTTTGTAATCGTAACATGCTTAGACATGAGTATTTTGATTTAGATTGTGATGTTTAAATTCTAATATCTGCATTTACGTTCTTAATATTTTTAGACAATGTATGTAGATTTTAAAATACTAAACAAAATTATTAAAGCCATGAAAATTTGTATCTATGTTATGTAAAAAAAATAAGAAATAATTTTTTCTTAAAAAAAAAAAGATAATTTTTGAATCACTGTAAATAGTTACCATGCATCTTCTTAAAAATCACATAAAGCTATATGAAAAATACTATTTGATTTAAATGTGGTTTCTAAGATAAGGACAAAGTTTTATCCTATGCAAATGTAACGCAAATATCTTTTGCATTTAAACGCTATTCGAAAACGAATCTTCGATTATGATAAACTAATTATTTAGGTATGTTAATGCATCGATATGAAAATGTATATAAGATGTCTATGGTGTATATGTACAGGGTGTGTCCGTGGACTCAATGCCAAAACTGATACAGCGACTTTCGCACATAAAAACAAGTTAAAAATGTCTAATAAACATATATGTCTGAATCCAAACTGTTCTTTTTTTGGAACTATAGGGTATTAAAGTTATATATGTTTATTAACTTTAGCAATACAGCCAGAAAGTGGACTTGGTTTACAATCAATCCTTAATCTCTCATACTTGCATTCAATCCACGCATACACAAATATCCAAAATCCTATTATAAATTATACCATTATATCTTATGCACTATCTCCTAACCTCACAGCCTATCTCACAGCCTATTGACATTCTATATCTATCTTCTTTTTCTTTCGCATTCCTTTCCCTAACAACTTTCAACAATACCTCCGCTTTGGTGGTGTCCAATTTATCATTCCAAAGTTTTTCCAATCTTTCTTTACTATCCTTTCCTAATACTGTAAACCATCCCTTTGTCTTAACGCAATCTTCAACATAGTGGTTCATATTATCCTTGCCTTCATTACAAAAAATACACATTTGTTTCTCTTCATCTAGCCAATACCTGTTACCTGATTCTAAGTTCCCGCATCTTATTTAACAACGCTCTGATACTATCCCCGAGACCCTGCCTGTCTAAATTATCCAACTTTAAATAACTTGGGCCTTCCAAATCTATACTTAGCTCCTTATATTTCTTGTTATACCTTGCATCTAAAATCCTGTTTTCCTCTAACTGCCTCTGTACATCCTCATCCCTCTTCCACATTTCTTTACCTAAATTTCTCCCCTCCCTTCTCAAGGCTTCCACCGCCACAACACTCCAACCGTTCCTATTAAAATATTTCTCTCTTTCCTTACCATACCTATCGTTCCAATCATTACTTTCTTTCTCCAACCAACACTTTTTAATCCACCTTTCCTCATTTGTTTCCCTGACCTTATCCTCAAATTTCATAGCCCTAATTCCCCATCCTATCCTTAATTTGCTCAACCCTAGTTCTCTAGACATTATATATCTCGGCGTGCAAAACTTTAATTTGAAAACCCATCTAGCGTAATCCAACAATATCTTTTCTAAATTTTTCTTTTCTTCCCATCCCCATAATTCCACCCCATATGAAATCACGCTCCTAACTAAATATCTAAATAACATCCCTCTTCTAATAAAATCATTCCTACAAATTCTTTCCCCTAGCCCCCACGTCCTGTTAGCCGCTATCCTGCCTTTCCTACACAACTCTTTAATATGCTCTGTATATTTACCATTCCTACTAAATACAAACCCTAGATATTTAAACGTCTTGACTTCTTCGATTTCTTTATTCTCCCATTTCCATTTTTCTACTTTTTCCCTACCTTTCTTATTGAACACCACCATCTTAGTTTTATCCGTACATAAAGTCATTTTTCTTTTCCTAAAAAATCTCCTAATTGTATCCATCATATCTAGCATCGCATCCCTATTCTTTGCTAAAAATACCATATCGTCTGCATACTCTAACGACCACACTCTTACATCTCTTAATTGCACGCCGCCTATGTTTCTTACTTCTAATGCTTTCCTAATCTCCGCAATATACAGGTTGAATAGAAGCGGGCTCAGAACACAGCCCTGCCTAACTCCTTTTGTTATAAAAAATTCCTTCGTTACGCCTTTCTTTGTTCTAATCGCTACCTTTGTGTGATCTCGTAAATCCTTTCTAACTTTCCTATAAGCTCTTCTTCTATTCCCATTTCCCCTATAGGGTATTAAAGTTGTTTTCATAAGAAAATATTGAATTGAAATATTGTTTAATAGTATACATATATTGTGCACCAAGGGGCGAAAGTAGCGTTTTTCAGACGAGTGTAAAGTTTGCCGCTCGAGCCGAAGGCGAGGGCGGCAAATCACACGAATTAATCTGAAAAACCTTTCGACCCGAGGTGCACACGATATTTTTCACAACACCTTTACGGAAATGTTCGACTTTTGAATGCCTGTAGAGTGTATGCGTTTGATGTTCCATTCGTACAGTTTGTACGCGCGTGTAGTTAATAGAAAGAGAAAAAGAGAGTGATGCGGGGTCTAGGGGCGAAGCCCCTGGTAGGTGGTGTGAGGGGCGAAGCCCCCCACATAACACAAAATTAAAATAACAATAAAATTAAAAAAAATATATATAAATAATTTTAATTATTGCACTAAATTTGATTGATTTGGGATTTTATTTAAGAATATTATGTAAATAGTTATAATTAGTTATCTCATTATTTAGTGATATTATTAAGAAAAAACAATTCCAAATCAATAGTTTTAATAGAAGTAATTTTTGAAATAGTAATTATTTTTTTATTTATTGAAATTAATATCTATAATTTCTGCGTACGTTGTACGTTTCTCTTTCGCACAATGTTGGACTCGATGCTCAATTTTCCTTCCATTAAAGAGAGATTTCCAGCAAGCGACACAAGTCGACACAAAGGTCGTTTTATCTTTCTTTTTTAGCAATGAGTATAACAAAGACAAAACGACATTTCTAAGATTTGCCCGTTACTTTACTTTCTGCCCGCTATACAGGGCAGAAAGTACCAATTTTCCTTCCTAGAAAGGAAAGTAACAATTTTCCTCTCTGTTTAGCGGGCGGAAAGTAACAACTTTCCTCTCTGGCGTAAAATTGGCCACTTTCTCTCCTCTCTACAAGCATGGAAAGTCGGACTTTCCGTGGAGGTGTTGTGAAAAATAATGGGAATGGCTAAACTGCGATACGCTATCTGGTGGCGAAAACAGAACTAAAAAGAATAGGTCGCCGGCTGCCACATAAATAAATCGACTTAAAAAACTATACACATAGTGGCACTCCCCGGAAAATTTTACCCCTATTTCATATACTTTTGGTAAAAATTCGGTTCAGGGAATAAGCACATACGTCGTATTGTAGAGTGACAAGTGACCTACTCTCTCCGGCCATTTTGCCTTGTGACGTCACGACCGCCAATCCCAATATTCTTTATTGCTTTATTCTGTTTAAAGCTTTACAGAAGGTGCTCAAAAATTTCTTCATCGACTTCAACACACTTTCTAGCACAAATTAATAAATTGTTTCGACCTTTTTGAAAAATATTTGGTTTTGCGGATAATATCGGCAGCATCAAGTGTCAGTTACCATAGTTGTTCTAAATTTTTTAGCACCTTTTGTATGGTTGTTTAATTTTTGTAAAACTTTAAACAGAATAAAGAAAAAAAGAGGTTTCTCTACTTTTTTCTCCCTATCAACTACACAATTAAACAAAGACAGCATCCCAGCAAGCATGGCATATATCTATTTAGATCTTTCGGACAGCCCTCCAATGGCAAAGTTTAGTCTATTATATATGTACGTCTATGGTTGTTTAATGTTCTTTATTCTGTTTTGTCTCAAGTGTCTGTCTTTGTTATTCATTGCCAAAAAAGAGAGATAGAACGACGTTTGTGTCGACTTGTGTCGCTTGCTGGAAAGCTCCCTATGTAAACAACATTTACTTCAATTTATCTTTTCTTACGAAAGCAACTTCAATACCCTATATTGCTCTATAACTTTGAAACCGTTCAGATTCGGACATGTGTTTATTAGACATTTTTGACTTATTTTCATGTCCTAAAGCCGCTGTACCAGTTTTGGCACTGACAATGCGTCCAAGGACACTATATTTTAGTGCTCTTATGTTAGTTCATATTAGTAATAGATAATAAATAAGTTATCTAAAATTTCTTGTCAAGATACAAGAAATGATTCTATGCAAAAAAACTATGCAATTTTTGTTTTTATTTCTTTTACATTATAATAAAAAATATAGAAAGAATCCGTTTAATATACCTAATAAAAAATATAGAGAAATGCATGAACTGTATGCTTACGTGTAACATACGATAATCAAGATATAAATATAAGTTAATAATATTAAGATAAAATCACAAAACAGAACAAGGAATTGATACTTTAATTTAACTTATTGATCATTTAATAAGTTAATGTCATTCGATGATCTAATGTACTCGTCTTTTTGTAATTTTATTTAAATTTTACATTATTTTTAACTCGATTATTAAACAAAAAATGTTATTTTAATGGATTTAAATGATCAATAACAGTCTCCCCATGATGATCAAGAAACATTTCAACTACATTGCAGCAACGTTACACGTAAGCATACAGTTGAAATGTTCTTTTACGTTTCTTGCTTACTGAGCCATTAATGTTTAAATTTAATATTTATACCTATGGTTTATTTGTCGCTTTATACATAAAAATAAATTTTTTTGTTAAATTTATTTCATTTATAGATATAGTAGAAGAGAAATTTACGACCTAATTAATATATAGATTATAGATAGTTAAAATGAAACGCTTACATATACAGATGCGAATACTTTATATAACGCGATATAGATTATACTTGTATAAAACATGCAATATCTAATCTAATTTATAAAATTCAATTACATGCACTGTGTATTAAAAGCAAAGCGTGTAATTACTTATTAGAACTTGTTCCTTGAGTTGTCCCTTGATTTGTTCCTTGATTTGTTCCTTGACTTGTTTCTTGTGTCATTTCGTACATATTCTTAGATGATGCTTCTTGACGTATCACTTCTACTGCAGGTGTAACCATATCTATATCGCTGTCCATATCATCCATATCACTGCTTGAACTTGCACCGGTTATCCTATATTTATATTTAAAGTATGTATATGTTATGGTCAAAGCCCGAAACGCGGGCATTTCTAGCATTGACTGGTCAATTCTGCGGAATGACTGTGGTCAATCCTGAGGAATAACCAAGCGTCTTGATTAAAGCAGTTATTAGGTATCAGACTGGGAGTTTGATTAGTTTTATTATGCGGCGGAGCCCCTTCCCCGCCTATTTATGTACTGTTTATATACATATATCAACAAATTACTACAAAACTTTGACCAAGACGCTTGCCCGTTCGGCAGAATTGATTAGTCAATCCTAGGTTGACCGCGTTTCGCGCATATATATATATATATGTGTGTGTGTGTGTGTGTGTGTGTGTGTGTGTGTGTGTGTGTGTGT